TGATTTTTTTTTGTATCAGCGCAAACACAGCGTTATTGGCGTTGAATTTAATAATATACCTGATCAATTAAAAATCTAACTACGGTATGAAATTTGTCTTAAATAATAACCCATTCGAGGGTTATAAATTTTATACATGTGTATATAAGAAAAAATTCAATTTGGTCCAAATTTTGACTGTTTTCAACTACAATATTGGTCGTTAACATTTACATTTGTAAATCAGTTAAATCGAATTAAGGATAATGGATAAATTGGAGTATCGAAAAATCGCAAAAAGAAGCAAAACAGAGAAATTTTTTCTCCGTCGTTCCGTTAAAAATTTTTTAAGTTTCGACTCTACACACTACTAACGAATTTTTTATCTACACAGTAAAAAAATCTCAACGCGTTATTTATTGAGACTGTAGACGATCTTGTGTCACTCTTATTTCTTACTTCATTTGATAAGTGACAATAATCTTCTACAACGCGTGTTTTTTAATCCTTTAGTTTTTTTTATTTTAGAATTTAGCAAGTTTTCAAATATAAACTGTAACTATTATTGCTTTGTCATAAAACTGGAAATTTATCAATCGATATTCATTGTTTTTTAGCATCAAAAGCACATGATTTTTTAAAAATCAATTGCTTTTAGATGCATTAATGTTTACGCATATTATCTGATGACAGCAGTTTTATTATTGTTATACTATTTTTTTTCTCTTGAAACCATCAAATGTAGAGAAACATCATTGACATAAATTTGTTGAAAAGATTGATTTAGTGTAAATTTGGAAGAGTCTGAGGGATAAAAATTATGAATAGGACCAAAAGCGAGTGAAAGAGAAGAGGGTCACTCACGTAGAAGGAGAGAGATGGAGAATAATTAGTTCATAATATAATTATCATAAAATAAGCTCACCTTCACACATGCCAGACACGTTGAAAAATCTTGTCTTACCAACTACTAATTCAGTCGAATGACGATTTTTTGTTCGTGTAATTTGACATTCAAAAAAGTTCGTATTTTCTTTTTTAACTGTATCTACTACACTAAGAGTTGCAAAAAATTCCTACGATTTGATTAAAATTGTCACTTGATTATACATATATGCGTGGAAAAATCGTGAAATTTTGGTTTATTATAAAAAAAAAGTTCGGCTCGCGAAATGAGTCGTGAGTCGATCGAGCTATAAAATTTTACGATTTAGTGTTCCTCGTCAACCTAAACGTGTCCTAGCGCGTTTTTCTCATTTTCATTTTCTTACACGTCGGGGAGGTGTGGAACAAATCTGTTTACGAGTCCCACGCATCCTTGGTCCGTTATGTTTATTCATTTATTTTTTTCTGTATTTTTTAGTTTTAGTGTCGATTAATCATCGAAATATTGTAATGCCATCGATTGCGTTATTTTATTAATTGTTGAATTGTTATTAGAAAAAATTTAATTAATAGGTACTGTATTTGCTCGATTTTATGATTCACAATTAGAGACGATAAAAAAGTTTTTGGGGCCAGCCACTTGGAAATACGAGACAATCGGATGCCTCTCGTATGCTGTTGTGTTTTTGTTTTCCTATAGAACCTTAAAAGAGATTCAATTTTGTTTAATTTTGACACTCGTAAATCGCGAGGCCTGAGATCATTTCATCGCGTCAACTCGCAAAGGAGGATCAGCAAAGGATCTTTTGAATAAACAAGACATTCGAATTATCTATAGCTGCTTTTTTTATCTACATCGATACACATGAACCGTAGGCATACATTAAACGTACGTTACAGTCGATGCACAATCAAAACGCGATAAACAAAATGGTCTTTTCATCCGATAACTTGAAAACTAATGGCATATCAAAAGTCATCATATAAAAGATAACGAAAAATTTACCAAAAATTTAGGAATCATCATTTTTAGACTAATTCTATGCTCTTGTATCAACCGCACCAGTAGAAACCAGTACGTACTAGTATAACCATCTGTTGTACAACAATTTTGTAACATTCATTTCTACAATATATTTCAATGTTAACAACCATTTCAGATTATTATAATGCAAAACGTGCTCAAATACTTAACGAAAATCTGCTCTACTAAAAACATTTCATCGACCAACTATATAAATATCGAATAGAAAACATTTTTTTCCTATCCCATTGTGACTTTATCTATATACATATGATATTAAATGAGAGATATCAGGTGTGATTTCAATTTTCAATAATTTCGATCAATTTATCGTGAGTGTTATTTTCAACGATGGATTTATCGAAATATGTCATGTTAATCACGCTTTCTGAGTAAGGTCATTGTTTTTATTTATTATCAATGATAACATTTAAATTTTCTACAATTATCATTACGATATATTTCGTTCGTTCAGGCCTATTCACGTCGTGTTTGCTTGTTAATTTTAATTTTTGCAGTTTACCTACAAATATGTACACACGAAATCGCTACACAGCGATAGAATGACTTTTGGATTTAACTCTTTATTTTTTCGTCAGAATTTTATGCTCTTCATTTTACACTTCGAAAGTTAACGCTTTTTGTTGTATTTCTTTGTGTAGTATCGAGGAAGAGAAGATATTATAAGATAATGTACGATTATGAAATCACGCGTTTCCAGGACATTTTCGTTAACCGGTCGAAACTTGTCTTGTCGAACAGAAATAACGATCTTGATTATCAACAGCCGTTGTTTGCTAATATACATTAAATAGGTACGTTGGGAAGTGAAGAAAAATACATATTTATCGAATGTTGAAAAAATTAACTATCAATACTAGATGATTGCCCTTTTGTTTTGAGTTAAAAATATACTTGCTATAACAATAAAAGTTTAATGTTTGATTGACCTTTTTTAATCACAAGCTTTATACTCTCATTTTTAACATCTGATCAAAGCGTGATGTATATATATACATCATAAAATGAAGATCTTAAAAGTATGCTTTGTTCATACTTTTGGGATTTGTCATTTCTGTTTGTTTGTTTGATTCGACAAGACGCGATCGGTCGAAAACGAAAATTCCAGAAACTGTGCGCGATCGTTTGTTACAGATTATCACTTTGACGCTTTGCTATCGAGTGCTCCTCATTATTGTTTTAAACATTACTTCCTTTGCTATTAAATGTTAACTTTCATTTCAACTTTTTCACCATTTTTTTATGCTTACCAAAATAGTTTGAAACGCGTTACGGCCAAAATAACGTCACGGTTTGATCATGAAATCGATAGGGAGTGCGTAGCGATTTTATTTTTTCTGTAAAACCAGAATCAACATGACAAAACCTCAATCCAAAAAGTTATTAACTTTATTATTAATATTTTGCTTTGTAGGCCGAACCGAATATCCGCGTTTTCTCCGATGTTTCTCCATGCGTCGCGCACGAAAAATGCTATCTTTCATTTTCCATGAGTAAGCCGAGGGAGAAAATGATTGTTTGCACGAGCAACTTTTTTCCCCCCTCCCGTGCTGGTTTTTAAACGGCGGCAGCGCGACGTTTCATGAAACCAAGATTAAGAGACCTAGTGGAGGCATACCGTCGCGGAAAAATCGCTGCACGACGATTTTCAAGAGGGCAAACATGGGAGGCTGGTATTCATCGCAGCTGAATTCGTCCTCGAGTCTCAAGAGCGCACAGGAATCGCGAAACAAAGGAGCTGCTCTGCTTTGCTGTTTGCTTCCGTTCTTTTGCGCGATTTTACCGGTACGAGGCTAATTTGAAGATTTTCATAGCATTGGGCCAATGTTGGTTCAGGGATTCGAAGATAAAAACTTTGGTTGAAATAATAAATGGAATCGAAATGAAGTAGGGACGTTTTGTTGCTACGTTTGAGCTTAAAATTGCAAGTGGGTAGTCGAAAGGGAAAATAATTAAACGAAAGTAGCTGATCTCTGTAAGTCCCAATGAGACTAGTGAGATTAGATGAAGATCAGAGTCAGAAGATTTGGGTTGGAATTTGATCTCCGCATCCCTCACTTTGGAACACGAGACAGGGGTTTTGTCTTAACTTTAGGATGGTTCTCTTGCAGTAGCAATTTATCTTTATAGAATAGTTTTTTAAATCTTATTTTCCGAGGAGAAATGAAATTCTTTAGAGAAGCGTCGCAATATAGGCTATAACTATCACTTTTGCTAAGATCATGAGATTGAAGGTGAAAATGTGAAATGTAAAATGAAAGTGTAAAATTATCAAGTATGATAAGCTTGACATGTTTCTTTTTAAATGGCATTTGTTGTTTTTCACAGTTTAGTAAATGATAGTGCTTTAAGTTTTTCTTTTCCATACTTTCATTTTAACGCGCTTGTGAAACCTAATTTAATATTAAATTTATTAAAATAAATATATTGTGTTCTATAATATCAATTATACTATAAACACACGACAAATTAGTACATAATAATTTGTACATTAGATTATTTTCAATAAATTATTTCCTCAATTCATTAAATTTCTCATATACTTTCTAACAAATGATTGTAACTCTGATAATTTATAAATATCACTATAATGGATTTACAAAATAGATAAATGTAGTACAGATAACTTTATTTGTTTTCTCCCTGGAACCATGTACTGCATGAAATTTCATTCAAGTACATACATTATCTGGAGTTTTAAAAAAAAAGTGTTCGCGAGAAGTAAATATAAACGACAGTACGATAAATCGTCGTTGAATCGATACAAAAGCTAATTGAAAAGCATGAGTAAAGAAAAAATTTGTGTTTCAATTAAAAAATACCCATGACAGAGTAGAAGTAATAATCTTGCAGAAAAAAATACAGTGTGTCGTATCGAATCCCCGATGGGAAGGAACAGCGCTGCCATGAAAAAGTACGAGCTATCGTTATAAACCTGTACCACATTTGAATCTCAACTACGATATATCTCTTCCAATCTCAACAACACAGTGCCGTACACATATGCGATTGCACTTATGATCTACTTTAGTAATAATCTCAACCACACACAACGCGCTTATCAAACGAATTCGCGGCAAAACGACTAGACTCGACTTAAGGCAAATCCCGTAATATTCTGTATTTCACACATTTGACTCGCCATACACCCACGCACATTTATTTAGTATAAGAATGCATTCTTTTTGTTCTAGTTCACACGCATTTTACGTTACGCTAGTTTACGTTTAAGCTACGATATTATTAAAGTAATCTTAAGTACAGTCAGACACTCGCTAGAGGCGTCCGCACTAAGTTGTCCGCAAAAACACTCGCCGCGTCGAATCTGAAACAGAATAAACAAAATAGAAATTTTTGGGTGCTTACATCAGTAAAAAACAATCCATCAAAAGTATAAACCCGATCCCAGTGGCGAAGCCAGAGCTTCCGTAAGAATTTATCGCACGCAATTTTTTATCTTTAAGTAGTAAGATCCGCGTTTGGTCAGCCAAAGTAAATATTTTGCCCGAGTTGGCGTAAAACTCGATACAAACGCGTTCTTTGAGCCACAAAACATACACATGAGATACAACCACGAAGATACAATAGAAAGAAACTTACCGATGAAACTCGAAGCAGAAGCCCTCGTCGTACTCTCGTATTCTAATTATGATGCGTATGTGCATACAAGTACCGTATGGGTGGGCCCTGCGCGAGTGCGGGCTCGTTATAAATATACGTCACACAATAGGCCTGAACGGTGCGAGTCGTCGCACACTGAGACACGTGCACACACACACACACACACACACACACACACAAAGACACAGATGTGCCGTCCGTTGGTACACGTTGATTGCGAAATCGATGTGGTACGCGGAGCCGCTTAGAAGCCCTGAATGACGCCGTAGGCCTCGAGGCTCGACATCACCAGGTAGAAGATCCAGAGCGAGAACAGGAAGATGGAGGTGATGTACTTTGGCACCTTGGGCCCGCCCAACTCGCCGCCGATCGAAGGCGTCCGCCTGATCATCAGCACGATTATCACCACGCTTGCCTCCGTGCAGAAGAGCGTCACCGAGAATGCCAGGCTGTGGGGATGGTTTTGAGAATTTTTTATTTTTTATTTTTTTTATTTTCTTGTGGGTAACATTATATAATTCATTGTGTACATCAATCATTTTCTTTAAACAAATAAGAGAGGGTTGAACTGTTTCTCCGTTGCCATTGTAACGTCACCATTAATGGGAAAATGTAACTCCGTGACCTAGTTGTGCTTAACGAACAAATGAGATTTCGGGGTAATTGTTGCCATTAGCTGTAAACATCGCATGTAAACGTCGCATGGCGTAGCTTATCCGGACAGCGCGCGCGCGTTTAGTAATACACACACACACAGTATGGTCAAGGGTGCCAGCGAGGCGCAATTTACGACACTGAGATTCGCGTTATAATTTATGGAGTCCACGGAGGTTTACACGTATACAAAACGCTCGTTGCAACGTGCACGTATATCCTGTGCATCTGCCGAAATTTTAATTAATGGTTGCCAATAAAACTGCGTAACGTCAGATTCGATAATTGCAAATGCACGCGGTGAGTGTACTTTTTTTTTCCACGTATCTCGCGGGTGCGAGTCTTTTCCTGCGACAAAACGGAGCTCACGGCGAAAATTGATAAGGGCGCCATATGGACGGGCTTTCGCGTCGCTGCGGTAACTCTCTCACACACACGCTGGACATGTTATACGTTACGCTCATCCGCGTGTCCTTCCATTATGTTCCTGGCGCCTAATACACACGTGAGCGTCGTCCCGGGGGCAATTCAAATTCCAGCGTCTCCCGTGAATAACAATAATTCCAAGATCCGCGTTGCCAGACTTTCTCGGTATTTTTACGGTGTATGCATATCTTTCCGAGGCTGGAAGAGGCAATCGTTGCGCGTTTCGTGTGCCAGAAAATCCCGGGGAACGATGTAACGAGGGACAGTCGGTATCACGCACAAATTGGAAAGGTTGAGTGGTTGCTTTTTTTAAAAACTTTATCCCAACATTTTAGAAAAAAATACGGTCTTTTGTTTTTGTTTTTTCAGGGTAAAACACGCAGCCACGGAGTTGTCGGGATAGTTGTTCCGTAGTTTCAGCCGTTGTCGACGACAGTTGTTAAATTAAAACGTAAAGTTTGGGAAATTCCCGAGTCGCGCAAAAGCCAACTCGTTCTCTTGGCTATTCTGGGATTCCGTTGTTTTCCACTTTCTCGTATTCAGCGTGGTATGAATCAATGATTGGTAACCACCCGCGTTTATAAAAAAGAACAAACAAACATACAAAAATCAAAAGACGCGGAGAGTGTAAAGCTATCGTATCGCCTTTTCGACGTGCAACGAGTACAGCGAAAGTTACAAGTCTCGCTCGAGCGGGCAAATACTTACAAGTGCACGCAACGCCCGCATTCGTTTATGCACACGGGGTTGAAGCTTCGAAGGCGCGCCGTGAGCTTTTGCAAGCTCGCAAGAGCTTAGGATTATACTTGCACTCGGGGCCGGGAAGGGGTAAGCCGAAGCGCGGGGGGTGTCTTTCGGATGATCCAGTTTACCGATTCGGAACTCACGTAGAGCGGACGACGACGACTACGAGGGCTTTTTGTCGGGAAGTTTGCTCGGGGGACTCGCTGGACTGGTTTGTGGTTATTGCTGTTGTTCTGAAACGACGGATGGCCTGTGCTATGTGGGGTTGGTCGGTCGAAAGTTACAGCGTATACTCCGGAGGGGGCTCCGAACTTGCTGGGATCTTTGTCCTCGTTTCCATTCGAGTAAACACTTTTTCAACAATGAGTCGAGCACCAATCTCGTTACATCACCATCCGGCATATATTTTCAGAAGTGACTCGTGGGTGAAAAAATATTGAGTGCAAATATCGTCGCACGCGAGTCGGAAAACAAAAGGATAGAAAGCCCAAGATAGGTGGTAATTTCCGGCATCTCTCTTTTCAGCGTCAGCCCTCGTCCTTTCGTTTAAGCAGCGCCAGCCGGAAATTGAGAAATTAAACGAGTCTTGCAGGATCCCTCGTTGGCTTCTTTCACTCCGGTAGCGTGGAATTTCTCCTTATTCCTCGATTTCCGGGCAGATGGCTTTTGCCGATCCCTCCCCGATTCTTTATTCAATATGAAGAATGGATCGCAGTGTCTTTTTTTCGTCCTGTCTCCTTGAGAGGTGTGACAATTGATATCGGATTGTTGGAGCAATTGGGAAAAAATAATTTTGTCTCAAAAGTATTTTTCTCTCTCTTCGTGGCAGAAGCTCGAGAGTAATTCAATAATATGACTTCATTTGAGGATCGGAAGTTTTCTTAATCCTGACGTAGTATAAGGCAAGACAGCCTTTTGCCTTTTGGTATTTCTAACGTGAGTGCATTTCCTTGTTTCTGCTACAGTGGGAGTTTCTTGTGGAGTAGCTCCCGTTCGTATACTTAAATACTTGGCAAAAAAGGATTTGGCAAAGGACGCGTTTACGTGATCTCATTGTTTTTGATCTCTACTCGAGAACGTGGTACTCGTTGAAAAGCTGAATCAAGAGAGATAGTTTTTTTTTTTCAACTACTATTTTATTGTTAGAATTTAGCTGTGCTTGCTTTTCGAGTCCAAATAGAAGTATAGGTCAGAAACGGAGTCTATTTTGTGACAGTGTACAAAAGTCTACTATTTTAGTTTATTGAATAATTCTTTGCGGAGTAAAAAATTTGGCTTGAGTACAATTTTCTGGCAAGGACAATGATTCGAAAATGTTCACGTGCACTGTTCCGTTTCAATTGTTACACCATCAATACTCCAATCGAGAAAAATTTTTCTTTCCCTCGGAAGATATCGAAAATTGCAAGTTCCGGAGCAACTCGGCAAAAAGCAGAGATGTCAACGATGTATTGCAGAAATTAAAAAAAAAAAGAAAAAAAAAAAACAAAGCTCGAGGAGAGGCACGTAGCAAGCGAGTCGAGAAAAACGAGGTAGTTTATTAGGTACGTACGAGGGAGTGGAGTTTTTTCCCTCCAAGTAAGCAAGATCGACTGTTGGGCTTGTGGGAAAAATTACTGCCGTATACGTGTATAAAGTAGCTCAAGCCTCTCAAGCTGTGCTCGGTTTTGCGTGTACATCAGAAAGAGAATACCCGAAAGAGTCCCTTTTTCACCGCGCGAACGCGAGTACAGTTTTCATTTGGATTTATACATCAATTTAGATGATTGTAAAGTCAAAGCTAAGTCTTCAGCACTCCCACAGTACCTACGTAGTGTGTGATTGATCTTTGCTGAAAATCGATAGATATCACAGGTCTAAGGTCTCAAGGTTTGAAAAACAATATAGTTGATGTAAGTCTGGGAAAAAGATTAAAAAGTGAAAGTGAAACTTTTTCATTTCTGGCAGAAATTGGAGATAGCGATGATTATTAGTATCCTTGTCTTCTTTGGTGACTTTCTAAAGTGATTTTTGGAACATGAGTGAATTTAAAATCGTTTGTGACAGTGTGTGTTTTCAACAAAGTCCTCAATTAAAGCGTGAACGCCTCGAAAAACCGTCTCCTCATTCAACACAATTTAATCTCTCTGAATTAGCGATTTATTATTCAACATTTATCTTTTGACGAAAGTGGTGCTGGAGGACAAAAAAAAAATTTAAGTTTTAAATACTCTGAGCGATTGATTTAACTAGGCAAAACCTATACTGATTGCATAAACTAAAGGCTTCTCAGAATCGCAAAAAAAAGGAACGTATTATTCTCGATACCCGGGAAACGGGAAGAAGTATGAAACGCGAGGGAAAAAAAGTTCAACCCTCGAAACCATAAAAAAAAAAAAAAAAAAAAATACTAGTGAATACGTATGTAAGGGTGGAGAAAAAATAAAAAACAACAGAGCCGACATAGATTACAGGGTATACATGGAGTGTGCGGTTAGGTACTTACCTGCCGGGCTCGACTTCGAACGTATTGCCGTGGTAGGCGTGGTACATGGCAGCGATGCTCCACGCGATGCCAATGCCCAGGAAGACATTAACCGCGTTGCTTCCGGTCACGTTGCCGACGCTCGCGTCCGCGTACTTGTCCTGGCAGGCGGCCACCTTGCTCGCGAACGTGTCTGCAATAAATCGTTCACAATCAGACAATGCACACGCCCTTCCGAGTTTTCTCTTCCCTCCTTCCTCAAACTCTTTTTCTGCGCAGCTGTTTCTGTCTTTTCATTTATTTTTTTTTTCTCAGGTCTACGGACAACCCACACCCTAGTTTCCGTGAGAGCACGCGTAGAACCGAGTTTATTTAGTACAGGTATCGCTCGAGCGTTTGTCTTTACCCTTGGGATTTGATTCTACGTTTGTTGATGTGGAACATTGCGCAACTCTTTTGTTTTTCTGTTCAAAACTGTTCTTAACTGTGCTTGGGCCCTTCCTGAGTTTCGTAAAGTTTAATCGAATAGCCAAGAGCAATACTCGTTAAACGAAAATTGATTTTCTCAGCTGCAAACAAACTCAATTTTAAAAATATATGTTGGAAGGCTGGTTTCAGTGTACAGCTTCAGCGGTGCTTTGACAATGGTTATTCTATTGAAAAACCATCAGTTCAAGTACAGCCTGAATTGATGGTAATGTCTAAAAATAGTTGTAACTGTTGATTGGGAATCAAACGAGAGATAATTGTTTTATTACCTTTACTTTGAGCATGAACTTTTCATTTTTTTATTTTATATGAAACAACTATTTATACAAGGAGTAAATCACGTCGGCCATTACCGATCGTTTTAGAGGGAAAATCCGACATCAGACAGCAAGGAAGAGCTTAACCTGGTTCCTCCCTTCGGGTGCTCCCCCTTCATAGAGTTTGTGTTTTTTTTAAAGCGCGGTGCACCTGTCGTTCAAATTTAAGATCAATCAGCTGTTGCGTGAGGGTAGCCCGACAGGCAGGTGACGTTGGCATGGAACAATCTTTGGTGGTGGTAAAGCTTCACGGGTGGATTTTGTTTCGTAAACTGTTTTCTTTTTCCGCGCGTCATAATGAGCTTGTTGTTTATGCAGCTTAGATGAAAACAAGTGAAATTTTCTAATAAAAGGCCCAGCGTTTACACAACAAAGTAACAAACAAGTGACTTTATTTTGATAACCAGTGCCGTACGGGCATTCCCATCCAATAGTGTACCTCATAAACTTTTCTAGCAACAGCTGGTGCTCCTTTCTTTCGCAATAAGTTCGCTAGAATAGACCAATAGGTAAAAACTCTTCCTTTTTTCCACCCCTAAATGCTCGTATGATCTTCGACACGCACGACGGCGCGTAAGTAGGTACATACACACGCGCGAAATTGGTTTTTCTCCGATTCCACCGACTTCGGTGGCATACGTACACACACGAGGGGAATATTTATACGATACTTTGGCGACGGTAAGGGATACATTGTAGGCTCACGTACGAGTCCGACGAAGGGGGTTGAAACAAAAGGGGAAAAAAGTCCGTAGGGACGTAAAATTTATGAGCGAGTATCGGTTTCAGTTTTAGAAATCGTTTAGTGACGAATAAGTGGCCGGTTATCGAATAAAATTTTCTACGACTCAAAAATATAGTGTTTTTGATTGAAAAAACAAAAGAAAAAAAAAACTACTGCCTTACACAGTGTTGACATTTACACGTAGCTAGATTGTCAACTGTTAAAATTAGCTAGATAAATGGATAGACACTATCGCACGTTTGCCAACCAACGGAAGTTGAAAAAAAATTACAGCTAGAGTGTAGAGAGATACTTTCATACTCCTCTAATAGAGAAAGAGCGAAAGAAAAAAAAGCAGTTTTCATTTTCTCAATGTCGTTAAACCAAATTGAAGAATTGCTTTATTTCTTCATATCGAGGTGTCGCTTTTTAACAAAGCGTGATAATCGTTATCGCCAGTGTCATCGACAGCGTGCTAATGATTGTAATGTAACGCTACAGAATTGAAGTCCACAGCCAAGTTGTTTTTCGTGGTCAATCAAGAAAAATAGTCAGTCAGTCTTGTGCAATATTGAACAATCGAAAGAAAAAGTGCAGTTCACGGCATTGTTGTTGAATAAATGTCAGTGTCGATCATAAAAAGGTGTCATCGGTGTGAAATATAAAAGAATGTATACTCCGTATGGAATAGTATAGAGATAGGCTCAATAGACTTTGTGTTTCTCATTCTATTTGCGTTTCTGCTTTTATATACATGATCTGATTTGTATTACACTCTAATGGTTAACTGCACTTTTTTCAAGTGATGTCATCATTTTTAGCCTAACCAACAATGTATGTTGAGGTACTGGGAGAATTAGTTATCTCACTGACAATCCGCATTTTGTTTAGTCCTCTAGTGTACTGAATCACAAAAATGTGTGTGTGTGTGTGTGTGTATAGATTCGTGTTTATCTTATTATAAATATTTAAATCAGATTTTATCATCGTTTTCTGTTTCTTATGTATAATTTATTGAATTTACAATTAGAATTTTATTTTATAACTTAACTCATGGCATTTATATTTTATCAAAAAGTGATAGTTATAAGTAAAATACCAGGGTTTTTTTCCCCAAAGTTTAGTGTGTTGAGTGGAGTGAGCAGAGCTCGTATTAATTAAAATAATTACAGGATGGAGAAAGTTGAGACAAATGTGTAATTGGTGGAGCAGAAATAAATACTCATTGCTGCGCTTTACTTTTTTACATCGTGGGTTATACTGCACAAGTAGGTGGACTTCACAGAACTACTATTGACTATTACGACCAGATACCTCAATATATGCTCTTATATGCTACTGTACAGCCACTCGTAATTTAGTAATTTAGTAATCATTGGAAATATTGACAGGTAATTCTAGTTATTCTTTGTCTTTTGAACTTTTTCCTACATGTGTGAATGAATTACTTAGTTTGTTTGATTAGAATTACCATTAAATATGCAGAAAACTCATAAATATATGCTGTTCAGATGACTTTAAATTAAATTTATTTTAGATATAAGTGCAAATGTGGATGGAATCAGTAAGGTCGCGCAAAAAACTTATAACTTTCACAGAATCCTAACTTAAAAAATTAAAGGGTCACGTGATTAAGCTTTTTATTTTGTGTATCATTGGTTAAGACATTAAAAATATTCTGAAATGGTGGTGTTTTATTTCTTATTTCTTTTAAAAGAAACATATGGAAAAATAATTGTATTGAATTAAAGAGAAAATTACATTTAAGTGCATATACGTCATCTATAGTTATATTTTTTAACTTTGTAATATCGTTTATGTCATCATACGTTTTTATTACAAAATATTTTTTAATTAATACATTCTCATGTTTTACAATAATTAATTACCTTAAAAAATATAATTCATATAAATGGTTTCAATGAAAATTAAATTTGTGGGTAAGATATAAGTTTGCAAAGACTAAAAAATAAACATAAAAATGTCAGTAGAGTTGTATTTTATTTCAATACTAAAGTATGATCATTGAGTAATAAAACATAATAATGTTTTTAAATAATTATGAACGTAATTACAGTAATTTAAATTGCATCAAGCACGTTTTAAATGATTAGTATGCAAATTTTTTAAAATGGGCTTATGAGATGTGACATCCACTAAAATGCAACATAAGTATAGCTGCTGCCGTGTAACTCTAGATTATTAATTATGAACTCAATTTAAGCAAAATACCAATAAATAGTATTTAAGGATTGATTATTTCAGCCCAGAATGCAAGGCATCGTAGTATTTCTGCTTTTTATGACGCTCGCCCTTGCGTCCAGCTCCAGCATAAAAAACTTTGTATTTAATGAAGGTAAGTCTACTGATGAAGCATCTTCATTTTTTACTTTATCTCTTAAGTAAATCTGTTATGTGTTAATCGTTTTTTTTTTTTTAATACTATAATGGCAGTACTTGTTACTTAAATTCCAAAAAAATATTTACTTGAACCGCTTTCTCTTGAAAGTTAAAAAAAAGATATATTACCGATCATCTGCTTGCTTATAAACTTCGATGGATCATTTACTGTATCACTTATATTTCATATATAAACAAAAAAAAATGCATATGGTATTTTGTTTAAAAAATTTAATTTTCATAAACATCATTTTTTTAATTTACTCTTAAATTTTTATTTACTCTGTAATTAGTTGTACATTCAATTTAAAATATTGTAGGTAATTTTTGTATCTTTTGTGTTTATAGAACTAACCAAAAAAATAATGAACTCTGTGAATCACCCAAAGTTTTATATTGTGGTGAAAAATGTCATGCCCACAACTGTTCCAGGAAAAGAAAAAATTTTAGAAATTGAATACTCGACTACATCTTTTACAACGATCGAAATCCAGTCTGATGAGGGTAAGGTGCTATTAAGCCACATCATCAGAAATTAAAAATACAATTACGTATATTTTGTAATAGAATTCTCGCATAAAACGTTCCGTTTTGCCTATCAAGTATATTACAAAATATTAGATACATCACTTATCTTTTTTACATCAACGAAAATCACCAGAAATAGAACAGATAAAAAATCATGATGGGGGCTCTATGACGTCACACCTGAATAAAGTCCACTACGGATATGTCACGCGTAAATTTAATGTGCCTTATCTCCGTCAGTTTTTGTTAATGTAAAAAAAGAAAAATACGTGTCCAATATTATTTGAAAATCTACTTGATGGGCTGGATGAAATATTTCATACAATACTCCTATCGAGACCTTTGAAAAAAATATAAATAACTATTATTCAGTTATTAAAAAATAAATTGAATCTTAGGTTTATCGTCATAGTCCTATATTTTAAGCATCATCTTTATAATACACATGTAGTTAGGTGTTAAGAAAGTATGTTCAAAAGTTTGATTATCGAAAACTGCAGTAATCCTTTCGGATCACGTGAACAACGACTTCAGCTGGAAGACTTATGTCAACATCGCTCGAGGAAGTACCGAAACTCTAAATAACATTATCCTTACTGTGAAACAGCAACAATATTCAAAAAATGTTTATGTTTACATCAATTGTGAGACTCATGCTAGGGGTACCCTCGATCTTATAAGCGTCCCTTCGAGGAAGATCCAGGAATATCTACCATTAACACCCAAAGTAGTAAG